CAAACCATCCTTCCTTCTACTATCTCTAGTCCCCTGTCAAATGAGGTAACTTAAAAAATTTCACTAGAGCCTGATTTATGTTTGGACAGTTTTTGTCCTGTTCAGCTCTGAATTGTCAAAAATAATAACCTCATCCAAATCATCCACATGCCTGCTAGATCCCATCCCAACCAGACTGTTTAAAGAGGTATTCCCCTAATTGATGTCCACATTTTGGATCTACTTAATTTGTCTTTAATGAATGGTTATGTACCACAGAGCTTTAAGGTTGCTGTAATTAAACCTTTACTTAAGAAGTCTGATCTTGATTCAGGAATCCTAGACAACTATAGATCTATATCTAATCTAACTTTCATCTCAAAAACTCTAGAGAAAATAGTTGCAGGTCAGTTACGTGAACATCTACAAAGAAATAATCTGTTTGAAGAGTTTCAGTCAGGGTTTAGAGCTCATCATAGCACAGAAACAGCACTAGTAAAAGTAACTAATGATATTCTCATGGCCTCAGACAATGGACTTGTGTCTCTACTGGTCCTGTTAGACCTCAGTGCTGCATTTGATACAGTTGATCACAATATTTTACTACAGAGGCTTGAATATGATGTTGGGATTACAGGAACAGCTCTAAAATGGTTTAAATCATATCTATCTGGTAGATTTGTAAATAATAAATCTTCTTCATGGCAGCACGGTGGCGCAACTGGTAGAGCTGCTGCCTCTCAGCGAGCAGGTCCCTGGTTCAAACCCCGGTCCAGGGGCCTTTCTGGGTGGAGTTTGCATGTTCTCTCCGTGCATGCGTGGGTTTTCTCCGGGTGCTCCGGTTTCCTCCCACAGACCAAAAACATGCATGTTAGACTGATTGGTAACTCTAAATTGTCCCTAGGTGTGAGTGAGAGAGTGAATGGTTGTTTGTCTCAATGTGTCCCTGTGATGGACTGGAGACCCGTCCAGGGTGTACCCCGCCCCTCGCACAGTGATTGCTGGACATGGGCACCAGCGACCCCTGTGACCCAAAATGGAATAAGCGGGTAAAGAAAATGGATGGATGGATGAAATCTTCTTCATACACCAAAGTTAGTCATGGAGTTCCTCAGGGCTCACTGCTTGGGCCAATACTCTTTACATTATATATGCTTCCATTAGGTAAAATTATTAAACAGCATGGGATAAATTTTCATTGTTATGCTGATGACACACAATTATATTTGTCCATTAAACCATAGGCGTCACAACCATTATATGTGAAGGGGACAAGTCCCCCCCACATAAAAAAAAACGTTCATTTGGACCCCCCCACTTTTACTATAAAACATTAGTTCAGGCGGCGCGGTTTCTCTTTCTTGGTGAACGAATCCATTCCACTTGATTAATAGGAGAATACTCAAGCCACTAAAACTCCACTCCAGGTTTTCCTGGTTACCTCCAACTCTCCACCGTCGCTTCCAGCCTCGCCAGAAAACGTGCACAGGTGGAGACACCTCTGTGTTCCTCGCTCGCCAGTTTAGCAGCTTAGTGCGGGCAGTTGTTGGCCAGGGGGTTGATCATCAACATATATTCATGTTAGGAGGATGCTTGAGAGGAGCTACATCTGTAGCATGTTATCTCAGCAGTAACTGTGACGCTGTGAGACGCTGCAGGTGTAAGAGACTCTGTGTGTTCAGGTGCATTAAAGTTGAAATGTCTTTAAAACTCCACACCTTATTGTTCTCAAGCTTCATGAGAAACATCATTTAGATGAGCAGTGTTGAACACAAGTAAAAAAAAGTCCAGTGGTGATGGTTTTTATTTCTCTATAAAGACAAATAGTGTCGATCTGACGCTCTGTATTAAAGTGTATTAAAGTTAAAATTACTTTAAAACCCAGAGCTGAATTTACACAAACTTGGTGAGAAACATGTTTTAAATGTGTGGAATTAAAGGAAATCTAGGTGAAATGTTGCTTTTTTGTTCACTAGTGAACACCTTTTTTAAACGTGCTCTCACACGTGCATGCGCGCACACACGCGCACACACCTATACACATCATTGTGTCCCCCCCACATTACAGATGCTTCTGACACCCTTGCATTAAACCCAATGAATCCAATCAGCTACTTAGACTACAAGCATGTC